ACACACACAACACACACATACAACACACACAACACACACACACAACACACACACACAACACACACACAACACACACACAACACACACACAACACACACAACACACACACAACACACACACAACACACACAACACACACAACACACACAACACACACAACACACACAACACACACACACACACACACAACACACACAACACACACAACACACAGACAACACACAGACAACACACAGACAACACACACAACACACACAACACACACACAACACACACAACACACACACACAACACACACACACACACAACACACAACACACAACACTTAACACTCAACACTCAACACACAACACTTAACACTCAACATTCAACACACAACACACACACACACACCACACACCACACACCCACACACACACAGACACACCCCACACACACTGACTCATGAGGGCTCATGCGCGCTCTGACTTGCGCATCATGGTGCCCGCATGCCGATCCCTGCTCTTGCGCTGAGCCGTTCGCACATGGTCGCACTTCGAGAGGCTCTGTGCAAGGAGCAGCGCAGTTGCTGGCCTTGAATGGTTGGACGCGAACTGCCCGGCCCCTAGCCGAGATGGCCCGATGTGGCCCCAAGTTGGCCCCAAGATTCCAAGATGGCCTCAGAAGAGGTTGCCGCAGAGAAGCCTGGCAGGTGCAGGTGTCTCCAACGTGCAATGGGGAGGCCATGATCCAGGCCCATATTGTGACTTTATGACCTGAGGAGAGAAGGAGCTCCAATTGCAACGGGCAATAACGGGCATGACAGGGCATAAGCGGGAGCGGGGCATATCGGCACATCCCGCCACCTCAAAGTTGAGATGCTGAGATCCTGACACGGGCCAAGCTCATGGACATGCTGGATGGCCGCCCGGACCGCACCCGGACATCACCTGAATGGCATCATGATTGTTGTTGCACATTGCTGCGATTTGCTGCGATTAGGATGCTAAAGCCTCCCAGAAGAGGAAAATGGCTGAAGCCAAATCGAATCTCGGAGCTTCGAGGTCATCCACTGCCCAAGACGCGTCTGCGCACCTTGGAGCAGTCCCTTGAGGAAGGCAAGGAGGCGCCTTTTGAAGATGACTTTTTTGGATTCGAGAGATCTGTTACGAAAGCGAGCTCTGTTGGAGCTCTCGCGATCTTGATCACAAGGTTCCTAGTAACCCGAGCAAATTGGGACGGTTAAGGGCTACGGAGCCTCAAGTGTTTTTTGGGGAATCGGGCCGTGAATTGGACAGCTTCAGGATGCAACAATGCCCAGCACGCAAAACAAATGTCAAACGGATGCTACCTTTTGTCATTTTCCACTTGTGACCTCAGAACATGTGTTTCACCTCCAGAGATGGCAAGCGCTCCAGCTCACCAGCCACTGGACGCGGGGGGCCCTCAGAAATCTTATGAAAAGACTCGTTGGGCGCTTCTCTTGCGCGGCTTTCCTTCTTTTTCCCAGAAACTCGGCGGGTTACCAAGCGGGGGTCTGCGAGGACTCTGGGCCGAAAATCGGAGCGGTGGCCCACGGGATGGTACGTGACCAAACGGGGGCGCGAGCTTGGCCGGCGGATATGGCACGGGACGGGAGGGACCGAATCCGGGCGGTGTCCGCCTTCGAAACCGTACAAACTCTGTAAAACGAAGCTCGGATAAGGGGGTAGGGGGTATAGGGTCCGCTGGAGCCTCGCGCTTTGGGAAAGTGCCTTTCAAATATCAGCATATGAGGTCTGCCCCCATGCTCATGCCAGTGTACGAGAGGCCGATTGGCGCATCCTGAAGAACATCCCGGCCTTCGGCAGCTGCGCCTACCAGCCCTTCTTGGCACGCCTCCACAAGGAATCGGGGAGCTCTTCGCGTCCATTTTTTTTTACCTCTGCCATGCTCAAGCTGCCTCAAGCTCTCCAGTGAGCTTTGTCGGTCCGAGAGAAGGACGCCGATATCCGGCTCTTCTGTGCCGGCGACATGGTAGCCTTTGCTGGTGCCCGGTGCTCAGGGAGATCCCAGCACTCAGCCTGCAAGCAAGCCTTTAAGCGATTGCGAGAATTCAGCCGTCTTTGGTCTTTTGCGACCAGCTTCGCAGAGGAGGTGGGGGTATCAGGGTCTGCATTCCAGGCTTAGAGATCCAAGGAGAAGCGAATGCTGGCAGACGTCTTTTCAATTCCGGCAGAAGAACGTTTGTCTGTCTCTTGTGTTTGTGTGTGTGTGTGCGTGGCATCTGTGCGTCGCATCTGTGCGTCGCATCATGTTGATTGTTTCCTCTTTGTGATGCCCAGGACGACTCCGCGGCCATGATGGTGGTGCTTGCTGGCACAGTGCGGTCCGGGCATCGGGCTTTGTCTGAGTGCGGTTGAAAGCCACTCGACCTTTCTCGAGGTGCGAGCAGCCCCAGACCTTGTTTTTCGTGGAGTTGCGTCGTCATGGCCCAAGCTTGCATGCGTTCTGTCATGTCATTGCCGAGCACAAAACTCTCGAAGGGGGACACAACAAGCCGGCACTGGGCAAGAGAATGGGGGCTTCGCATGGTCCGAAGGGATACGTAGCACTCACAGTGGGACCTCTGAAAAATTCTCATGGGAACCCCCGCTGAGAAGCTGAAAGCTGGTCGCTTAAGGGGCCACATTAGAGGTATCTCCATAATCGCACCGAGGGTATGTTCTGCGGTCCCCAAAGCAAGGGAGAGAGCAACTAGGGCGGGGGCATGTAGTTTGTTGTCCATCATCTTCTTCTTTCACTTCAAACTGAAGGCCATTCCACATTGGATTAAGCAGCATGGGCAATGGGCATCTCATCGAAGTTGTGGTGACAACACGTGACATTCCAAGTGACACTTCAAAGTGGGGACAAGCCGGCCATTGATGATGCAGGGCGGGGATGACGCTGTTGGGATCTTCGCAGGTGGAGAGTGGTGCTACCAGGACAACATCCTCGGCAATACGCCCATCTTTGGCCACGATGCAGTGGCGGTGTGCATCCTATAGCAGCTACTATAGCAATCTATGGCATAATCACCTACTCTTCCTGTATGTCTTTAGGTTCTCAGCATAGTCTTTGGAAGCGAAGCAAACAGCTCAGGTCACCAACGTCCTCGTCCTTGTCCTTTACAGGCATGCGATGCAGAACGCAATGATCGCGTATCCAGAGACCCGGAAGGTGGGAGCGGGAACTCAGCGCGAAGCCATTCTCTGAAGCATCTCAAAGAACCGTGCCACGGAGCAGTCACTCCTCACCCGCACAGCTTGCACAACCTGCACAGCTTGCGAAACTTGCAGAACTTACTTACGTACGCGATAATTTGCAGTCCCGAGAGGTGGTCATCGCCAATGAGACGTGGAGGAAGCAAACTGACTGCCCGGAGCCATCAGGTACCTCCAGGGTACCTCTATTGCAGGGAAGGGCACAGAGTTGCAGCTACACTCGTCATGGCGCCGTCCCGCGTCTCCCGTGTGCCAGCCTTGCCGGTCTTTGCCAAGCTCCCTGCTGGGTCCTCGGAGATGCAACGGCTTCCCCCTTTTTTTGAGAGTATCCTCATGAAGAGGAGAAAGCAAAAGAGGAGGGGAGCTTAGGCTTAGGGGAGCCTAGGGCCCAGGGAGCCTTGTCTTCGGCACGAGCGAGGCCCCGCTGCTGACAGACGTCGTAGAGGAGGCAAAACCAGTCTACTACCGGCCCTGTTGGGAGCTAAATTCAGAGTGAGAGCGCTGCGGCGCTGCGTGTTGTTTCAAGAGCAGGTGCACAGCAGAGTCCATAAAACTGAGGCTCACTGCTCTACTCGCCGGGTGAGGCCATCGAGGATGCGGCAATGCTCTTCGTGGTTCGTGGCGAGGTGGCGACGTCTGGGACTGTAGCGACAGCGTGCGACAGCGTGCGATGTGCGTTTACTTCGGTCTTGCCATGCTGCCTCCAGTTGCAAGTGGCCATTATGGGCATCGAAGTACGAAGGATTGGAGCAGGCACGCTGCTGTACATGGCCATGTCACTCTATTCACTCTGCACTGTGCGGGGGCATCGAGGGTCAGTAGATCCAGGCCATGCGACACTCAGTTTGTTTGAAGTCTCGAGTTTTTGTCCGTCAGTTTGTCAGTGCAAAGAAGATGATTTGACGACAAAGGAGTTTTGATAACCGAGGAGAAGCAGGAATGCAAAAATGAATACTTACGATATCTTACGGTAGATGCTTGACGAGGAGCAGTGCTCGAAGAGGGCCAGACCTCGCTCGTTGCCCCCTGTTCCGGCTATCCCTTTCTGGCCAAGGAAGGGATATGAAGGGATGTTGTATGAATCGTCGGCCATATTATTCCGCGCCGCATTCAGACCGGTTTGTCAGGATGCGGGCACGAATCGGATCAACACGCGCCAATCCGATCAGGAACAGCATGAGAACTGCACGAGTCGGAGAAGACAACGCGCGAACAACTCACCCCCGTCGCCGGCCTTCTCGCAATGCGATGAGAATGCATAGCCGTGAGGAGGTATTGTCAGAACCCACTCATCGTGCGATGTTATCAAAACGTGCGTTTTGTGTTTTGCTGTTAATCCAGTCGTGTGATCAAAGGTACAGGGGCCAAGTACAACACAAAGTTATGGGATATTTTGTGCAAGGAACAGTCTGTCAATGTGGTGCCTCACCTCTGTACCTTTGTAGGAGGGTTCTTAAGTATGCGCCCTTGGGTTGTGATGGAGTATATGCGCGGGTATTTTAACTTCCTCAAAGATTTTGGAGATTCGTATGCATTCAACCCCTGTAGCCAGGCTAAGAACTGTGACAGCGCCTGGATCACATCACGCCGACCTCTGAGGGCGGCACCAAAACAACACCCATTCCTTGTTCAGACTTCTTGGAGAATTGGTTTTTCCGGCACATTCATGACGCCATCAAATGGCAAGGCACGTTTTGTTCAGCGAAGTCTCCGGCGAAAGGGCAACACTCAGAAATATATAGCCTCAGCGCGGGTTTGTTGCCATGTGATGGCCACGCCATGAACTCACTAGTAGTAGCCGGTTTGATGGGTTTCGGTGTTGGATGAAATCCCACATGGCCTCGGAGCAAGAAAAGTTTGACTCAGAGATTGCATGATGGTTGCACACAGTTACGTAAAACCGAATAACCTTCTTTTGCATCCGCAGATCATTCTGAGGCAGCATTGCTGCAGTGCTTTGGAGTTTGTTGAGTGAGGAATCAGAATTGGGGAAGTTTACTCCTGAGCCCTAGAGCACCATCGCATGTCTGTTGCGGCCCCTCGCTTTATTTGCTTGTTGTTTGCACTCAGATCCTTTCCCAGGCTAGCAGAATGCTGGAGCATCGCAGCATGTCGCGTCGTAGAAGTACTCGGAAATTTCGCCATGTGTGTTTGCTGCCTTGCCGGCGAATAAAAGCTTGTAAACTTGGTGAGCTGGGAAAAGTTGCGCTGAAACGTGCTGACAGTCTGAGAAGCCTGAAAGGACACTGCCGAGTGGCACAACTTGACTTCTGAATTGACGCAGGCGGCTACGTGGGCCTGCACCACTTCATGGGCCTTGACTGTTCCGCACCCAACGTCCGCTGCCCGAGCTTGCAAAGATGCCCTCTCTTCCTCTCTTTGCCAATTTGCGGTGCTTCACTTGACCCAGACCGGAATGACTCCTAGATACACGAAAACATGCTGACCACAGAAGTTTGTTCTCAGATGGTAATAAACCAAGACATAAATCTTATCTCTTTTGGAGCTGGGGGCGCCCTCTTTTGTCTTGTTTGACGTCTCACGTGCTTAAGAAAAGCAAGTATACAAGACATCAACCATAACAATATACAGTTGTTGTTTGTCTATTTGTGAGTATCTGTTCGTCTGTGAAGCTCTGGGCGTTGCTTATGCAGGGGGGGGGGTGGTTGAATGCTTTAGGTGATGATGCGTTCCTTGTTAGGAACGTAGCACTTCTGCCTCTCTCATATCTGCTTTGTCGTTTCGTACCCAAATGGCTGGTGTTCAATCGTGAGATTAGCAAGTGCAATGTGACTGCATCAACATGTGTGACAAGGGGACTCTAACAAGTGACTAGCCAATGTACAAGGCACGCTTGCATAAGTACAATCTTTACGAGGGCTCACCTGAATATCCAACTCTTATACCCAACGCGACGACAAATCGGCTATCAGAATGTTTGAGCCCGTAGCTCTTTTGACGTCATCCCAGGTCACTATTCGATCCACGCTGGCGTGCGACTGTTTGCTTCTTCAGCCACGCTCAAAGGGAATTCCGCATGCAGTTCTTACAAGGATCAATCTGAATTCAACTGAGGCAGTCGACCGTCCAGAAGGCACTTGATGACGAGCTCATGGAGGATGACATGCTCCCGTGACCAAAGCCAAGAACATTGCCGGGGCTGTGGGGCGTCTCTGCGCGCACACTAAGTCAAGCCGAGCGTTCTGCACACCCAACGCAACTCTCCGCCTGAGCCATCCGGGTGTCTTGAAGTGCTTTGAAAGCAGGGGGCACAAGTATGTCCTCACGACGATGCAACTCATCGAATGCCTGGTTTCATGCAGGTACTCGGCGGCAGTACGGGTGCTCTCGGGTGGCGAGATCCTAGATGCCTTCGGTTTTCCTGTGGGCGATGGCAGCCGCTGGCCCAGAATCGGACCGTCAGGTGGGCAGCAAAATTCGGCAAACACCGTGCCCGGGATCTGCCGGGCTGTACATTTGAGGTGCCAAGAATGTGCCCGACTGCGTGGAGCAAAGTGAGGCATCACAAACCCGACTTACTCCAATCAGCAAGTCAGATCAAGTTAGCACCAATCTTGGGGCCCTGGGCTCTATGGCTCTGAGAAGAGGTCTTCCGAGCTTGCTCGCGGAGCTTCGTGTCGCAGGTTGCAGAGATCGTCGAGGCGCAGTCAACCCGAGCCTCCCCAATAAGAACTCTAATGCTGTTCGAAATCGCTGCGTTGAATGTTAGATGTTTTGAGTCTGCATGGGTATCGAGATGTATTGAGCCTCCGTGACTTTTGGAGGACCTGGCTTTCTGGCCGGGGGAGACACTCTACCTGCAGTACGAAGAGGCAGCTCGGCTTCGAACCCTCTTCAGAATCTTCAGCCCCGATTTTGACACCTCTGTTCCAGGGCAACTTCATGTACTTCATCCGCTCCGGTCGAGTCCGGTTGGAGGCCGGTTGGAGGGTTGGAGGTGTGCGCACCTTGGGTCTCCCCCCGCCCCCCCCCTATTGGTCCACTGTGGTCTTCCAGGTGCTGGGCCGGAAAGAACACGAGATCGTCGAGGCCGGCACAACGTTGGGCGACATGGCCGTGCTGGACCAGGCGAGCTTCTCAGAAAAGGCGTTCAACCAACAAAAGCATGCAAAAGCATGAACACACATATGAACACCACATGTGGGCGAGTCAAAAAAGGGCGTGGCGGGAGAGCCTAGCGGGAGAGCGCGAGGTGCCGCACTACGTCGAGTCGGCCTACGCGGAGACCCACGTCTGGGTGAGAGCACTCAACAAGAAGCGGGGGACCCTCTTTCCCACCCTCTTTCCCTTGTGACCTGATGAGCTATTTTCTATTTTCTCCAGTTTCTCACACCGCTTTTTCGCTTCACATGCAGGCTGCTGCGGCGGTCACTGAGTTCCTTCCCGGAGGAGGAGCGTTGCATGCTCGGCCAGGCGGCGGCACAGGGCGACGGGCGTTGCTCGACTCGCTCGACTTCACGAGATCCCTCCCAAAGCCATTCACCTCTTCGCTTCCGCCCCCTCTAACAGACTCTAACAGACCTTCACAAATCCCTATGAGCCTCTGCCAAGCCGCTGCGAAGCCTTTGCGACACCTCGCATGCTGCAAATCTCCGCAGGTCCACGCCGCCAACCCGGGCATCTTTGGATAGTGATCGTCTCGGCATCCCCTCAAGCTCACGGCTCCCTGCGTCTCACCCCCCTTCACCCCTTCCCCTCAAAGTCTCACCTCCCAAAGTCTCACAATTCGCAAAAGTCACCGGCGAGTTCGCTGCCGCTCGAGGCGGCGTTGCGATCAGAAAAACGAGCGCCGCAATTGGACGAATTCTACGACAGACCCAAACGAAAGGCAAAGGCAGGTGCAGGCTTGAGCACGCCACAAGCCCCGCTAGGGCCGCTCAGGGCCGCTGGGGCTGAGGGTCCATTACTCAAGTCTTGGCTGTTTCTGAGTTCTTTTTCGCCTCTTCTCTGGCACCTCACACGCTGCAGCTTAATGTTGTAACTGCTTTAGTAGGGGCCCCTTGTGTTAAGTTAAGTTTGATAGGCTATTCACAATCGACATCAAGGCCTCCAAGAGCTTCCCCAACTTGCCAGGGCTTCCCGCGCAACCTCTTTGCGTGTTAGTAGCTGTTTGGGCTTTGCCGCGCGTGACTGTCAGTCAGTGCCTTCTTCTGGGTGCGATGCAGCACCGAAAGCACCACAGCGAAAGCACTGCGAAAGCGAATGCGAAAGCGCAGCGATGTGGCCGCAGACGCACAGAAGTCAGAGCTCGAACCGACTGCATCACAGAACCACAACTGCTTTTCTTGTACTTGTAGAGACCGTAGTGGGCCAGAGAACGCTGCAGCTGTCGTCAATGGCCCAAGGCTGGGCACTGAGGGCATCGGAGGGAGGCATTTCAGGGGGAGAAGAAGACCACAGCGCTCTAGGTCGCAAGACCGCTTAGCCAGGAGGCGATGCATCACAGAAGCTGCTTGACGACAACGATGGCGCTGGCAACGATGGCGCCGGCGATGGCTGGCAGATCACTGAAAGGGAGATCCAGCTGGCCAGCTTCTCAGTTTCTTTCCTTCTTTTGCTCCTTTGATCGTTTCATTGATCCCATTACCGTTGCCCCTTCTTCAACAGCACTCCTCAACGCCCTCCGAAAGAAGACTTTTTTCGGAGAGGTCCAGCGCTGCCTCACCGCAGTCGAAGAGCGCGCGCGAAAGCTGGAAGACCAGGACAGGGTCCGGCTCAACAAAAGCAAAAGCATCCCTTACACTTTACCAAAGGGAGCAAGGAGGAAAGGAAGACGAGGGAGGGAGGTTTCTTGGCTTGTCGGCTTTCGCACGGCTTCTTTTTTGGTGACGTTGCATCATGGTTTCTTGGCTTCTCGGCGGCCGGCTTCTAGGGGCACCCGTGGGTTTGTGCCCTGCAAGGGCGTGACCGAGCGGAACTTTGTTTTCGGCGTGGCCAACTCGTGCCTCGATTGAGGGCTTTTCAAAAGCCGCACGACGGACAGAACAGGGGGCAAGCAAGGGGACTAGTCTGGGTATAGTCCATATCGTGACTGATGACAGGAAGCAAAGAGAAGATTTACCGAGGCTTAGTAGGCATGTGAAGACCACGCTCCCTTCCTGTCAGAGAGTCGGTCACAGATGCGCGCAATGAGCTTACTACAGGGGCCATGCTGCAGTAGGCATGTAACGACGCAATGGGTTGCGCAGTGTCAAGTAGGTCATGCTTGTCAGTCCTGGTTTCGAGGCTTTTCGTGGCCTGGAGCTTTGGCGCATTGCCAGCCTACTTTTGGATCGCTGCTGGGACGGCATGGCGTTGCAGAGCAGTTGAACAAGTGAGCTGAACAGACCGAAATTTCAGGCAAAAATGTGCGAGGGAATGTCGTGTCCCTTGAGTTCCTCAGTCAGCCAGCCAGCCAGTCAGTCAGTACGTTCACACACCGCTGTGTGAGGTCTATATCATGGAGGCACGCCAACCGTTTGTGCGCGAATGTGTGCGAGAGTTGCCAGCTGTGGCCAGCCAGTCTCTGGCTCTACCGCTTTTTGTCTCAGAGACTCTCAGAGAGATGTGTTTTTGAGATGTGATCGCTGTCAGGAGCAAGAAAGAAGGAGAGAGACAGAGAGAGACAGAGAGAGACAGAGAGAGACAGAGAGAGAGAGAGAGAGAGATAGAGAGAGAGAGATAGAGAGAGAGAGAGAGAGAGAGAGAGAGAGAGAGAGAGAGAGAGAGAGAGAGAGAGAGAGAGAGAGAGAGAGAGCGAGAGAGGCAGGGTCCGCCTTTGGGGGACCCCTCATGCCCAGCAGAAGAAGACGAAGAAGAAGGAGGAAGAAGAGGAAGAAGAGGAAGAAGAGGAAGAAGAGGAAGAAGAGGAAGAAGAGGAAGAAGAGGGAAGAGGAAGAAGAAAACGAAGAGCGACACAGAGAGGCCTGAGAACAGTACACGCACGTGCACACCCACACACACACACACACACACACACACCCACACACACACACACACACACCCACACCCACACCCACACCCACACCCACACCCACACCCACCCACACACACACACACACACACCACACACACACACACCACAC